TGCCCTCCCCTCTCCTTCTCTACTCACTCTCTGCTTTTTCCCTCCCCATCTCTTCCCCCTGCTCCTGACTCGTGGATCTATTCTCTTGGACCATCTGTCCACACCATGGTAGAACCACAGTCCCAGGCAGCTCTGGATACCCCCATCCTTGCTGCTTCACACCCACATAAGAAAGAAGACTTTCCCCACCAGCCCCACTTAAAGAATCCCAGGGAAGGCATCTGATTGGTTTGGCTGAGTCACATGTTCTGGGTAGGACCAATTATGTAGCCAGAGACATAGGATAGAATGAATGGCCCAGCTAGAGACACCCATTTACCACGGAGGGGTTGGGTTGAGGTCTGCAAGGGAGACTAGGTGACCAGGAAGTCTAATTAACCTGTACATTTCAACACCTTCACCTAAGTGGAAGACAGAGCTACTAACCAATAAGTTCCAGGTTTCAAAGCTGAACCAGTGGCCATGGTGGGGGATCAGGCAGGGCCAAAGGGCCCCAGGTCACCTACTCTGGGTGCCCGAGGGTGGCAGTCCTGCTGGCTGGCCCCCAGGATGGAGGTGGCGGGGAGAGTGTGGGCAGCTGAATTCATGCTCCAAGGCCCTGAGCAGGGGGAGGGCTCTGAGGACAGGGCACCTGAGCTGAGCCTTGAATCGGGGTCTGCCAGGCACATAGGATGGGAAGGGCATTGCGAGAGGAGGGAATTCCTGTCGATGTGTCTATGAACTTGCAGCACAAGTCAGTTTTACAAGCACACCCTGAAATGGGCACTTGCCTGGTGAAAGGCAAACCTCCACACAAACTTGGTAAAAAGGGAGACTTCTCAGCGGCCTGGGGGGGGGGGTAAGGGTGTGCCTGAGTGTCTCATCACCACCCACTTTTCACTTCTACACAATCCTGCCCAGTATCCTAAAATGAAGTATCATCATTCCAGATGGAAAAAGAATTTTGGACCCATTAGCAAGACGAGAGAACATAAAACTGGGTAGCACCCAAAATCAACCACATGAATTGCGAACTGTTACAATTTGTCTGGCCGCTATGTAAAAACCACTCTTCTCAATATCGAAACCATAAAAGTAAAACGACGCATTACACGAAGCGTTCCCTAATGCCCTTTGAGCCTTACAGGGGATTTTATTAACAAATGATGATTAAGAGTGCGTCTTCAGGAGTCATGCAGACCTGGGTTCGAATCCCACCTCTGCCATTTGCTAGCTCTGTCCTTGTCCCAGGCAAGTGGCCTAAGTCTCTGTTTTTTTTTTTCTTTTTTCAGGGCATGGGGGTGGTTTCTACCTCTCAGGATTAAATGATGTAACGCATAGGACATCTGAGCACAGTGCTGGGCACACAGGGACACTCGACACAGATAACTATCGTACAGGGAGAGAAAGCAGCAGGAAGTCAGAATACACTGATTGCCGAAACTCAGGCAGGTCATTTCAGAGGACTCTGGATGGTGAGCTGGAGATGTTCAGGGTGTTGGGGACCGAGACCCTCATTTGACAGGTGGGAGCCTGAGGGATTGCAAAAAAGATCACCCTTGGGGGTCTCAAGAAGCATGCAACACAAAGAGATATTATTACGAAAGCTCATTTTTCATAAGGATGACAAAAGCCTGCACAGTCATCAAGATTGAGGCTCAACATCTCTGTAATGACATTTTATGCCTGCAGAGAACTGTATTTGCTCAAAGAACTTTCACAACTGTTATTAATCAAGAGAATTATTCCTGAGGAAATACTTCTTTTAAAAAAGTCAGATGTTCTTACACTGAGGACCGGAATCAGCAGGCTGAGAGGAGGGTGGCAGAGGCTGTGCGTGTGCCTCTTCCTCTCCCCTGCCCTCCGCCTCAGACCTCTGTGAAGTGTCACCAGGGGGAGCCAAAGGGCCCAGGAGGATAGCACAGTGGTGGTGCTGGCCAGCAGAGCTTTCCACAGGGCACAGAGGGTGGAGGTAGCCAGAGAGGGTGGGCAGCGATTCGCTTCCCAAGGCCCCGTCAAATACCAAAAAATCTTTACCCATTCCCTGGAGCACTATGAATTCTCAACTATTATAAGTGATATCTGTCTTGTTTCATGTTCATTCATTCATTCATTCATTCAGCCATCATTTCTTAGGCCTCATCTGGGAGCCGTGGCCCTAGATGTGAATCAGCTACAAGCTCCGCCTTCAGAAACCCCTAGTCTGGAAGGAGACAGACATAAAACCCAGGGTAAGCTGGACTCTGATGAGGACGTTATGAGATCTGTGGGGGCCCCGAGGAGGTCCTACCCCCTGTGTGGGGATAGGGGTTGGAGTATGGGCAGAAGAGGAGCGGGGAGCCTTGTGAAGAAGGGGTATTCCTGGCAGAGGGAAGCATTCAGGCCAAGCCTCAGCACTGTGAAAGTGGGGTGTCTCTGGGGCCCCCTTTACCAGTGGTTTGGCGAGGATGGAGCTGACCACTGGGGAGCACACAGGGTGCCTTGCGACGGGGAGCCATGGAGTGTTCCCTCCCAAAGTGACTGTCCAGTTCATCCCTGAGCCGCCCCTCTCTCAGCGCAGCCTCAAGAGGTTGCAAGACGCCCGTTGGAGGAGTCCAGGCCTACAGGTACCCGGCTAGCCCATCCCACCAGGGCAGACACCACAGTCTCTGTGAGCAGCCCTCCATGGTGTCATCGCCACACGTGTGCAGTGCTTTACATGAGGTGCTTCGAGAACATTCGCTCCTTGGTCCTCACCTTCTCCCGCGGACCTTGGCACATTCTCTTGTCCATCAGGAAAATCGCCTCCTTATAGCTCGTGCCCAGCTCTAAGGTCATGTGCCCTGGGAGGCCTCCCTGGCTGCCCCCAGGGCAGAAGTGGCCCCCTCTTTCTCTGCCACCTCCTTTAGTGCACTTGATGGGGCTTACAAGTGTGTCTCCTCTCGACCTCCCCGCCCCCGCTCCCCAACTCCTCTACACAGACCATGACCTCCTTCTGGAAGGAGCCACAGTTTTCATCCGCACGCCTTTACAGCGGACAGGCTGTGGACTAGAACTTGGTACGAGTGAGAGCTGCCCCCTGGCTGCAGGGGTCCACATCCTAACAGGCCATTACCCTGCCTCCATTGCTTTCTTGATTTGCGGGAACAGAGCCTGGAAGGTTTCCTGCTGCCATCAAGCTTGAGGGGCACCTCCCAGGGGTGGGGGCCCCTGGTGAACCGGCACATTAAAGGGCATTGTTTCTAGTTGGTTAAATTCCCCTGTAAGGACCTCCCCCACAAAACTCACACTGCTTGCCCTGTTACCTAATGCACAAGACAACACATGGTCCTGGGGGAGCTTTCTCCCCCAGAAACCCAAAACCACCCAACTGGGAGGAGGACAAAATAAAGCCTGATAATGGAGTCTCCCAAATTAAGCCACCAACCAGGAGCAACTGTGCAGAAGGGAATGTCTGGAGTGGTGGGGGAGGGTAAGGCTTACTGGAGGCAAAAAGCAGCACTTCCTCCCCCCCTGATTCCTGGGCCCTTCCTGGCCCCCCATATGGGGGACCCCTTGCTTCAGCCATCAGGCCAGTGCCACAAGCTGTTTGTGATATGAAGTCACATTGGGACACAGATTTAACTTTCCAGGGCTGTGGAGATCGGCTCCGGAAGGTTGTGTGAGGGTCTGTGCAGGAGCATGTGAGTGTGTGTGTGAAATGCTTGTGTGTGTGTGAGAGGTTGCATGTTTGAGCCTATATGAAGTGTGTGAATGTGCGTGAGTGTGTGAGAACATGCGTCTGCATGTGTGTGTGTGTGTGTGTGTGCGCGCGCGCGCGCGCTCATGTTGGGGGTGGGGAAGGGAGCTGGTGTGGAGAGGGAAGTTGGGTGCAGACTGGTGCAGGCAGAGTGGACAAAAAGAGGAAAGTCTTGTCTTTGAGTCAGGCCTGGAGAGCAGGGTAAGAAAAAAGGAGCTCTTATTGGTGGTTGTCAAGGAGATGGGCCTCGGGGGTTTGCTGAACTTTCTTCCCTTAAAGCATCCAGACTCCGGCTGAGAGGGGCCATTTATTTCCAGGCACGCCTCGCGGGCGGGGGTCTCTGATCCAGGCCCCAAAGGCCATCAGGCATCAGGTGTAGACCCCAGGCCAGGCCAAAGCAGCTCTTGGGTCGAACGACCGCGATAGCGATGCTCCTCCTGGCCCCCAGCCCACTACCCCGCCCTGGTGTGTTACTGGGGCGACCCCAGGCCTCGCGTTCTCAGAGCATCAAACTGCTGGCTGAGAGGTCACCGCCCCCCCACCCACCCCTGGCCCCCGCAGATGGGCTGCGCCGGCCCGGACTGACCGCAAAGTGGTATTGTCCCACACCGAGCTTTCCCGGTGTCCCTTCCAGGCGTGGATTTTGCGACTGTCCTATAACAAGCACACTTATGGGCCACTGTCCTTGGGAGAATGGTAAAAATTTCATTTGTTTTGAATGTAAATCTTAAACGATCTTCACGATTTTTTCCTGTCTGGCTACTTTGCCACTGCACTGCCAGCACGAGGCACACAGTAGGTGCTCAATAAACATTAAACATTTACCGAGTGGTTAAATGTACAATCCTGCTTTGCGCGTTTGCATTTCTTTCACTACAAATGGATGCCGCCGCCGGGCCTTTCTCGACCTCTGAGAGCCAGTTGGCAGGCCCCCTCCTCACCCCTGAGTGTGTGTGCATGCCGGGGCGTGGGGGGTGCTTCCCCGGGAGGGGCGGCCTAGGAGGGGAGAAGGGGTCGGGGGCGGCATCAGCTTCCAAGAAAGCCCCAGCCTGGCCGAGACCGTGCACCCCACAGCCGAGCTAGGCACCCCGGGCCCCCACACCCCACCTGCCGCCCGCCTCGAGGGGGGTGGCCTGGACACCCGCGCCCCGCCCCTTCCCTCCAGCGCCCCCGCGCCCCACGCCTGACAGCCGGCGTCCATTGGCCACCGTTGGCGGCACCCCGCCCCGACGGCCGCGGGCCAATGAACGCGCGGCTGTCAGCTCGTCAGCCGTGCCGGCTTGGTGGCTGGGAGCCCCAGCGGTGGTGGGGAAACCAGCAGTGAGGAGCGCTCACCGGCGGCCGGTCGGGGGAAGCCCCGTGCCCCGCTCCTCCGCACGCCCGGCCCGACCCGGGCGCAGCGAGCATGGGCGCAGCGGCCGTGCGCTGGCACTTGTGTGTGCTGCTCGCCCTGGGCGCGCGCGGGCGGCTGGCGGGGGGCAGCGGGCTCCCAGGTAAGCCCGGACCCCGTAGACTGTGGGCAGTGGGTGTGGGGTGGCCGCCGAGGGGTCCTGGGCTGCCCCCCGACCTCGTGCCACCTGGAGGGCCACAGCCCTTGTGGTTCTGTGCCCTGTCCCGCCTCTTTGCAAAGTAACTTTTGGGATCCGCGCGGGGCACCCCGTCCCCGAAGCCCGGGTGGCTCTGGGCTCTCGGAGCCGGACAGGCCCGCAGCAGGGGCGGGGTGGGCTGAGGCCCCGGGTGAGGAGGAGTTCGAGGGCAGGAGGAAGAAAGAAAGCGCGACCGATGGCCGAGGGGGGGCCCGGCTCGCCCCGAGGGGGGGCGGGAGTGGAGACCCCAGAATCGGACGGGCGCTCCCCCGGGGGAGAGCGGGGCGCTGGCGGAAAGAGACTCAGAGGGGAGACAGGGAGGGTATGACCAAGGAAAAAAGGACGCAGAGAGAAAGAAGGGTGGTAGATGGAGGGACAGATGGACAGAAAAGACGGCACTGAGGGAACACACAAAAGGACACAGGAAGAAACCCGGAGAAAGACAGGCATGAAGAGAAGATGCCCGAAGACCCGGAGGGGGGAAGAAGAGGCCACAGGACGGAGGAAGCGAACAGACAGCAGGAAAGACAGATCCACAGCGGGGGAGTGAGGGACTGACTGAGAGACAGAAAGGCAGAGAGGGAGGCGGAGAGGTGGAGGTAGACGGACCCCAGAGAAAGAGATGGGAAGACTGGGGGTGCAGCCAGTGGAGAGGGAGCAAAACAGAGGAAAAGAGAGAAGGATGGAGATGGCCGGAAGCGATGGACAGATGGACAGTCAGACGGAGGAGGGGGGTGGAGGTGGGAGATGAACAGACACAGGGAAGGAGATGGATGGGAACCAGAGGGAGGGGAGACCCGACATGGGACGTGGTCTGAGAGGAGGTCCACACGAGGAAAGGGAGCCTAGGACACAGGAGCTGGTCACAGGCATCCGGCCTGGGTTGAGACAGGCAGGGGAGGCGAGATGGGGGCTCCCTGGGGTTTCCCAGGGAGCCTGGCACTCCTGCCCCTTCCCCTGCGGCTCTCCTGGTCCCCTGGAAGGAGCTCTCCCACAAAGCTGAAGTCACAGCCTCTCCTCCCGCCTTCCTCTC